GTCCGGAACTGCTCCTTACCTCACTTATGGAATGGCACCGAAGTTTTCGCTCAGCGACAAGGGAGGGAGCTATCAGCCCGGGGCACAGGGAAGCCAATCTGTCTTTACTTCAACCTTCCCAAAGGCTGCACCGACTCCTCCCACTCACAGAAGCACATCTGCAGTGGATGTGGGTCGCCGAGTCATGGAGCTCAAGCGTGTATTCGCGCAGAGAGCACAGACTCCTCTCACTCCGTATAAAGTTGATGCATGGGAGGCGATGCTATCCGAATCGGGTCTTGCCGCCAAATACCCAGATCTCGTCGGTTCACTGCGTCATGGCTTCAATGTTGGTATCCGCTCGATCTCGACAACATCCATCCCGCCGAATAAACCATCTATTGATACATTCGCCACAGAGTTTGACACTCTCATGGACAAAGAATTTGCCACAGGTCGATACCTTGGACCCATGTCACAATATGAACTCGAACAGCTCGTTGGGCCATTCCAAACTTCACCTCTATCACTCATCCGAAAGCCGCACAAACCAAATTCTTTTCGGATGGTCCAAGACCTATCATTCCCTCATAGCCCTCGCAGTATCACCCAATCTATTAACTCCACTATCGAATCCTCTGACTACCCATGCACATATGGAACTTTTGCAGCAGTCTGTTTGCTCATTTACCAACTACCTCCAGGTTCTGAAGTGGCCTGTCGGGATGTCGTTGAAGCTTACCGGGGTATTCCCCTACACCACTCTCAATGGCCAGGAGCCGCCGTTCGCTTGCGCGGTAGTGACTGTTTTGGTCTCGACACATGTCTCATGTTTGGGATCACATCGGGTGGAGGCGTACATGGTTCCTTGGATGATGGAGGTGCCGATATTTTTCGATGGAAAGGAATGGGACCCATCTCCAAATGGAGCGATGACCATTTCTTTGCACGAATCCGACGAGAGCATCTCATCGAATTCAATGAACGTCGAGCAGCCACTCGGCAACGCATTCAAAGCATTGGTGGTCGTCAAACACATGGCGGCCGGCTATGGTTTGCTGGAGGAATCCTACCATCAGATCTTGTGGAAGATTTTGACGAGGATTATGTTTTCCCAGTTGCAGACCTCTCACAATGCTCCTCACGCTCTGAGCATGATCGTGAGTTCTCATACTCCTTCGAAGACATTGACACACTCTCCGATGCTCTGGGTTTCATATGGGGGAAGGACAAGGACTCTCCTTTCGCTCCATCATGCCCTTTCACGGGTTTCCTCTGGGATGTTCAGAACAGGACCGTTGCTCTCACTTCAACGAAAGCGGAAAAGTATCAGAATGCCATTGCGGAATGGCAGAAGTCACGCACACACACGTTGGAAGAGACACAGTCCCTTTATGGAAAGCTGCTACACACTTCCCTCATTATCCCTGAAGGACGAGCGTACCTCACCAACCTGGAGGCCTTCATGGGGGTTGCATCCCACAATCCTTTCGTTCCACTCACTCCTCCCAGAGACACGCCCTCAGATATCAGATGGTGGAGCAATACACTCACCAAATCCCCTCTTCAGCGATGCCTCCCTGTCCCTTCTGAGGTCGTTGACCTCCACGCGTTCTCAGATGCCAGCTCAGGATTCGGCATTGCTATCGTTATTCGCGGAAGGTGGAGAGCCTGGAAACTCATCAAGGGATGGGACACAGAAGGCCGGACCATTGCCTGGGCTGAGGCAATTGGCTTCTATCTCCTTGTTCGAGCAGTTCTCAATGCCCATGCCCACTCCATCCACATCAAACTGTACGGCGACAACAACGGCGTTGTGGAAGGATGGTGGGCAGGACGTAGTCGTGACAAAAGGGTCAACGAGGTCTTCCGACTCATACACCAGCTCTTGGGACCCGTCAACGTTACTGTCCACTCACGATACGTACCAAGCAAAGAAAACCCGGCCGACAACCCATCCCGTGGCATCTATGCTAGCAAATCACTACTTTTGCCTCCCATTACAATCCCCACCTTCCTCGAACCCTTCATTGTTGACTTCGATCAGGATATCACCCCAACTGGATTTCTTCACCATGTCCCAAAATCCATTCCAAAGCTTGAGCTCAACCGCCGCAAACAACTCAACCACTCTTTTGAGCAGCATGGGGATGAGCTCATCAACTCCAGCCTTTACTGGTGGGATTAATCCCACATCCTCTCAGTCACCCTCGCGGTTCAGCGCTCTACTACGCTCTCCTATCAGACCGCCATCAAAGCGCTCAAGACCTATGCCCTACCGTCAGGACCTCCGCCCTGTCTTATCGGTATTACGTCCACACTGTATGGCGCGCGAACGCCTACTGATGTGGCTTCCATTCAATGGATCGCGCAGTTCAAATTCACTTCCTCTGTCAGAGGAAGACTTACTGCGCGTATTCACTGTCATCTCTCATGCATATGCAGAGAGCACCCTCGAAACGTATGGCTCAGGTCTGCTGGTTTTCCATGTATTCTGTGACATGAAAGGTATATCAGAAATTCAGCGTGCCCCAACTAGCACTACGCTAATCTCAGCCTTTGTGGCTGCTCTCGCTGGAAGCTATTCAGGTGATACAATCTCAAACTACACTGCCGCTATCCACGCATGGCATGTTCTGCATGGCCTAACCTGGTTGGTAGACCGTGATCAACTCAAAGCCTTGCTCAAAGGTAGTAATCGTCTCGCTCCACCAACATCAAAACGTCAAAAATGAGCGCCGTTCACTATAATTTTCTTACTAGCCATCCGTTCTGTCCTAGACCTCACAAATCCACTTCACGCTGCTTTCTGGGCATGCCTCACAACCTCTTTCTACTGCACCTCCAGGCTGGGTGAGTTCGTAGTGCCATCTCTCCTAGTCTTCAACTGTTTGCTACATGTGACAAGGTCACACATATCCACGGCTCGTGATCGCAATCAGCTCAAAACAACCTCCTTCCACCTGCCGTCGACCAAAGCTGCTCCAATCAATGGCGAAGACGTCAGTTGGGCAAAACAGGACGGCTTATCTGATCCCGAAGCGGCCCTGGACAATCACCTCATTGTCAATAACCCGCATATGTCAAACGAGGCGCTTTTCTCATACACCCACACCGACGGCAAACGAAGACCACTCACACGCCGAAATTTCATCAAGTGTCTTGTAGATGCTGGTAAAATGGCGCAAGTGACAGTGCCTCCAGCACATGGAATCCGCATCGGCTCAGTCCTTGAGTATCTTCTCCGAGGAATGCCTTTTCCAGTCATGCAAGTTAAGGGCCGATGGGCTGGCCAATCTTTCACAAAATATCTCCGTCAGCATGCAGAGATACTAGCGCCCTATATGCAGGCAAACTCAGTTGTCCTCGCACAGTTCACACACATTGCGATGCCTCCTGTTCGATAATCCATTTTGGTAAGTCCTTCATAGGTCATATGCTCCTACATTTCAGGGGTATCTGCGTTTCGCTTGATGCGTCGCAATGCTCCTACGGTTTTGGGTATCTCCGCTCACCTAGATTCCTCTGCTCCTAGGTATGCACTCACACCGCTGGGTCAAAGCACGAGATCAGAAACAGTGGGGTTTGTTGAGCCGCGTCGCTTGCGGGAAGCATTGCCTGCAAGCGACGAGCCCGAAACTTTAATATAGATAATACAACCTGCATAGTATCTAATAGTACATACAATAACCATCTAGACTAAAGGAACGAGCAGGCCATAGAATGCTATCATATGACTTACTCGATTATTATTTTAGCTCCGTTTAGGACTCCGAGGAGGTGTCGTATCGATAGTCATCTGTACCGGTCATTAGCGCAATTACGACTGTAACTAGTAGCTATTTCATTATGGTGTCGACTGGTATCTGGGCTCGTTTCCGCTCATTTACGCCCAAAATCAAATGAAAATTACCATATCTGATCAAGAGAGAATTGAGCTTAAATGAGCTCAATCCCACCTATATCTGCTCATTTCTGCCTGTTTTTGCTCAACTGTAATGCACCATTCTCGAAGATACTGAAAGAACCTAAAAGATTGTGCTCATTTTCGAGTGGACAGAATGAGCAGATTTGGGCGATATCGGGCGAATTTTGGCAGTGCCCACTTCTGCCCATTTGAAGCCATTTTGCACCCGTTTGAGCCTGTTTCCGCCTGGTCGATGTTCACTGGGCTCCAGGTCTTGACCAATGCACCAGCACCATGTCCACCTTCGCCTCTGCCCTCCAATCCGCCTGTACCACCGACCTCACCGCCTCCAACCTTCACCCTGCAAGCCCTCCACGCCTTCTCCCTCACCTTCTCCACTGGGTACCTCATCGCAGTGGCGAATACGACGACGCGGCATGTACGAAGGCCATTATGGGGTTGTATGTAGGAGCGCTGAATGGTGCGTAGTGGAGCGGGCTGGCCGGGGTGTATTGGGGCGCGCAGGCGTTGGCGGTGAGTTTGTGTCGGAGCGTTTATCGATGCTGTCATTCATTGTTCATTGGAGTGCCTTTTTATATTATTACTTATTGGCTTTTTTGGATCTGCCATTTCTTCTTGCATTCGATACAAGGTGCTCTGTTCTTCTTGGGTTTTCCTATGTGTGTATTGTTGCTACTGCGAGCTCCTCTCTGCTTTCTCCGCTCTTGCTTGCTTGATTATGAATCTCCCGTCCCCATTTTTGCTAACTCACGCTCTTATATACAGCTGAGATCTGAGCAAAAAAACCCCATATATCTCACACCCATATCTGATACCATTATATCGCTACTAGCTATCTTCTTTGATTGTTATCTTGGTGCCCCCACCCTGATATTGTAACCTGTGACTTATTTCTTTACGCTTGGGCCCGATCCTGTGGTTCGGAGTCCGGGAAGATATATACTCAAGCACTTGTTTGGGTCTACTGCCTTGAATCAGGTTTCGAACTCCGAGGTTGATAATCGAGTCCGCCGTGCCACAAGTAGAGAATAGAGACAAATGCTCTCAACCAGTTGTATTACATATTACCAATCCAGAAGCGGAGCAATTACATGGGCATATGGTGTAGGGGTTATCACGTTCGCTTTGCATAGGTTTGGAATGTGTCTGCGAAAGGTCTCCGGTTCAAATCCGGATTTGTCCATGCAACAAGCTGAAACTTGTTTTTTTTCCTACCTGCCTACTTATTTTCTGTACATCTGTACCAAGATCCTGTTCTCTCTCTTCGTAGTTCAGGTATTTCTGAAAGGTTTCCGTAACTTTCTTGTGTCCCTGGCATTGAATACTTTCTATCAGAGTGGAGTAACTACTAACAGGTTGCACAGAGTTATAAAAGTAAACTGTAATGGTACCAAGTATATGGGCATATGGTGTAGGGGTTATCATGTTCGCTAAGACTCGCTTCGCATCCATAGAAGGATTCTACAGTCTTTGTGAAAGGTCTCCGGTTCAAATCCGGATTTGGCCATAGTTATTGATACAGCAGACGCTAGTAGTTGACTCCTTTTTTTCCCTTGTTTGTTGACTTGGTAATCATTGATCAGTGCAAGAGTATGTTCTGTCGCCATAGTTCAAGTTTTTCATAACTTCAGTCCTTATAGTACTGCTGTGATCCATCTTTACTTCAAAGTTTTGATGCTATGGTGCTGTACAAGCCACGTCACAGAGTTACATTGGGAATATCATATAGGCATATGGTGTAGGGGTTATCACATTCACTTTGCATGAACTCCCAGACCCGGTTATTTGCAAAAGGTCTCCGGTTCAAATCCGGATTTGTCCTCTCGGTACTGCCTGTGCTATTGATGTTGTTTTTATCCTGCTTGCCTACGTGGCTATCACTCCGAAGTCATGTTCTCTCTTCGCTTAAGCTCAAGCCTTTCTCAAACTTCAAGGTTAATAACCAAGAACCTTTGCGTACTTCCGCTTTGTTTCTGTGACGCTTAAAATGATGGAAAGGCGGCACCCTGATGGGAGACCGGGGCCGGGGGATGGGTCATGTTGGGCATCCCGATGTTTGAAAAGAAAGCATCCCCAACTTTGTTCTGACTCTCCTGCGGCTCCCGTTGCTGTACATCTGATCGTAGTATGTGAATGGTGCGCCTTCAAAGTGGGCGTACTCGGCTGCATTAATAAATTCCAACTCCGCTACCATGTAAATGTCGGCATCTTGATGTTTTAAAAATACATAATTTGGCGGCGTACAACATTCTCGATCTTTGATTGGGGTCCTTGATGTATACTATATTTAGCGCCACGTACCAAAGCCTCGAGCTAAGAAATTTGGAGATCAAGTGTAATACATAGCTCTTATTATCAAAAGTACATCATAAGTAGTACAAGTACGATCAAAGTACGTCAAGTACTTCAAGATCAGTAAAACGTGGCTGAACTAGAGCCCCTGTCAGGCACCATGCAGCTGGTTCCAGGCTACCAGCGGCCCCCAGCACTGTACAGTGCTGGAAAATGGCTTCCCGTTCATAGACGTTTTGCTGATCAAGTTGTACGTGACAAAGTAAGTACCTTGTGTAAAGACAAGTACAAGGATTGAAAGTCCGACAAGTAACTTTGTCACCCACGCTCTCCCAGGTTAAACTTATTCTAATACTTAACTTGGTCTGGCTGTGTATGATAGATGGACCTGTACAATATAGTCTGTTATAGTAAATGTCTGAAGGTGCTCTCAATGAGGATAAATTACAGGTACACAAAACAGAAATAATTATTCTCACAATTTCAAGGTACCAATCTTTCAGAACAGAAACTCCGGCAATAAGCCGTCGTAAGTTGTAACTGATTCACTGAACTTCAAGGAAGCTCGACAGACCCGGCGATATGCCTGACCGGACACTGGGCACCATCATTAAGGCCCGACAAGCAGCACCCACCTCAAGCCTTCTTTTCTTCTCTGGAAATATCTCTTTGAAATTGTTTCTGATTACGGGAACACGCGGGGTGCGCGAAAAGAATAACAAAATCTCTGCCGTAAGGAACCAGTATTTGAAGTTTGCAAGACTTATCCTCCAAAATTCAGACAATTCCTGTAAACTGCCGTAAAGCTTACTATAAATATGCATGTCATGAAAAAACGATGAAAATAGCGATCCATATGTGGAAAACAAGGCTTTAGCAAAGGCCAGGAGGATCGCTGAATCTTAAGATACCATTTATCATGCCAAATGGAATGAATTTCTGCAAGTTAGCCAGGGTCATTGGTGTGAATGAAGACCACGTCCTCGGGGACCGATATTCCTATCAATAACACCCAACTGCCGACTGATAAAAGGCCTTCATTGTACCGTTAGTACCCCACATTGGAAGTGATGAAAGAAGGCGCCAAATTCTTTGAGACTGCTCCCTCTACACCCGGAAAAAGTGTCTCGAAAGACTACCTCTCTCGCCTTCAGCTCCTCTTTCGCGAAATTGATTATCGCTATGTCGCTCCACAACCCCCTTCTATGGACTTCCTCCGCTCTCACCACAGCTGGATGCATGATACATTTGGGCCTACAACGTCCTGGACCACAAGCCAGCTTGATACCCTTGGAGATGCAACCTTTTCTATTGCTGAAAGGTTTTTACCCTTTTGCTGACATTGAAATGAAAGCTATTATGGCAAAGTTGTCTGCGATTGTAATCCACATTGATGACTCGTTGGAAGACGACACCATGTACAATGAGATTGGCAGCTTCGTACACCATGTCTTCACAGGCAAGGCCCAGCCATCTGCCCTGCTCGATCTTTACCACGAATGCATCAAGGAGATGTCCCATCTCCATGAAGGAGACCCAGTGCTACAAGCAGCAGCCGTTATACCCTGGATCAATTACATAGATGGGTGTCTCCTGGAGAAGCGTCTCTTGACCATAGACACCGAACTGCGTGCTAGTCCCTATGATATGGGATATCAGAATCTTGCCAAACAACGGTGTCATTTTACAGGTCATGCGGCTCGAGAGACTTTGCCAGGAGCTAGGGTTCGCTTGTAAGCCGATAGCATCATGGTACCGTGCACATATCCTCATATATTTGTTCAAGCCCGCTTTACATTCGCCACAGAACAGGCATTGCGGAGGCATATGCAGCTGCCATATTCAAATCAACTAAATATCAAGACTTGCCTTTGTCTAGATATATCATGGCATTGCCTGATATCACATTTTATACTGTAAGTATGAGCTGTAATACTTAGTGTGCATGGTTACTCATAATTTTGCAATAGTTGGTCTTGAACGATCTGATTTCCTTTCACAAGGAGGAGCTGGGCGGCGAAACTGTTAACATGATTCACCTACAGACGCAATCATTTAAGGGGTACGGAGGCTCAGGTGCATCTGGGGAGTGGACAGTATCGGATACATTCAACCTCCTCTGCAACCAAGTGAAAGACGCCACTGACAGGATCGACGAGATTTTGAGGTTGCAGGATTGTGAGAGAATAGCGAGGGAGAAGTTGGATAGTAGGGATATAGGACTCTCAGACATTGATGTGACAATCGCGCTCCAGTGGCGAGAGTACAGGGACGGCTATATCTCATGGCATCTCGAGTCACAGCGGTATAAGTTGGACTTCCTTCGGCTTGAGCAGTTCGGACCGAAATTCCATAGCGTTTCAAGAAGCTGAAAGGATTCATGACGACCAAGAATGACATGTAGTGACCTGCTTTATTCTCATACGATATCTCCTACTCTCATATATTTGTACTCGATAGTTTTACAAAAGCAAACAATAACGTCAAAATTTATGGAACCTTATCCCTGCGGAAATTACATACCTGAAGCGAGCGATCTTATGATATATTCAAGACTCACCAACCTTGACTCCAAATTATACAGGCCGATGATCCTTGAATGGCTTCTTGATGCGCCGGTTTCTTAACTCAACCCCGTGAGTATGTTATGGGATTGAAGCAGTGTCACATCATAAAAGGCCTAGGATGGCTATGAATAACTGAGTGGTCATAAGCCCTACAGTTTTTAACGGACTATCCATTATCTCATTGAGGTTTCCAGCACGACTGTAATTTGGCTGGCACTGGAATTTCTGAAACCAACGGCAGCGGTGATGTTGCGGAATCAATGCGGATTCGATAAAATCATCAATTGAATGGATTGAATTGATTGAATAGCACGGGTGGATGAATCAAATAAGTAGCACAAGAAAAAATCGCAAGGGTGTCAACCGCTTTAGAAGTTAGAACCACATAGTACGCTTCTTCTGTGACACTATAAGTAAATGGGTTTAGGTGACAGGTGGGGAGAGGAATGTTAATGATGTTGACAGAAACGAGTCTACGTAGCTTCTTCTGTCCTCCGGGCCATATGTTTACTACCACTTTCTCTTGATTTTAAAATTGGGCTTGAAAAATAACTCACCTTAGGGGTTGAAGGGAGTGCGAGAGGGCTTAGTTTTACAAGCAGATTCGATGTATCATTACTTAGTCCACGGTAGTAGTAATGCATCCAGGGTGATACTGTATGACTTTTCAATGGTGCACAGAACGTACTTATGCTGGTGTGGTAGCCCCAAATTCGGTTTCAACAGACTTCCGCCGCGGGTATATTTAAACTTCAGAGCTAGAATGAAAAGAAATTTGTCCTAACCATTTCTACTATAACCCCATCTCCTCCCTTCAGGCTTATATTTTCCCCGATGTTTACAAGTGCGTTCTCATTTGCCAAACTCTCAATTTGTTATTGAGTGGGCCCTTGAATCTTAATTCAACATACGATAAACAAGCCCGCGGGGATAATGATGCGTATTGGAAAGAAAATTAAAATGTATCCGACCCGCCAATACCGCTATCCCACTATAAAAGCCTGCAATCCGTAGAGACTGACATAGCAAAAGTAATGCCAGGAGAGAATCATCCTTTGTCCGCCCTGGAGAAAGGCAACCCAAAATGCTATATTTCTCGCCTTCAATTCCTCCTTCACGAAGTCGAATATCGACATACCCCCTCATCTCCTCCCATCGAGCTCCTTCGTTCCCATAACAGCTGGACTCATGATACTCTGGGGCCAATGACACCGTGGACTAAATGTCACCTTGATGCCGTTGCGAAAATGTCTCTGGATTTGCCCTACAAAGCCTACCCTTATGCTGCCACCGAAGTGATAGCTGTTATCGGGAAGCTTACTGC